ACTTCAGGATTATAAAATTCTCCAAATCTGAACAAGTACTCAGCAAGCAGAGACCCTCCAGGATTTCAGGGTGGCTATGCACACTGCTCCTGGGAGTCAACACTCATGTATCCATATACTCGAGGAAGAGTTGGTAATCTGGGCAGTCTGCAATCACTCAGGTGGGATTCTTAGAAGCTCACATGTATGATGCCAGTAAACATACCAGAAAAATCTCTGGAAGGTGAGTCGGAAGGATGTGGTCACGCAGACCCAAGGACTATCTGTTTCTCGCTCAGGACCAGACCGAAGGGTTGGGAAGATACGGGCAATGTACATTCAGAACCATAAATGATGGCCTCATGGGGTCCGTCTTGCAGGTGGTGCCTAGGTTTCCAAACTGATGTCAGAACTTAGCAGACGGGTGCTATACCACGCTGCCTTTACTCTCAGCGAGGATCCACGGTCCCTCCAGAGAGGCACTGCTTGATATGACGTGCCCTATGGGAATTGGATAAAACTTCTTATGAAATTAAGAAGGGGACACGAGAGACCCCTTATCCAATCGGCTTTACAGAGTGTTTATGATGTTTCCCGGGGTTACTGTGTAGAAACTTCAACATTCGTGGTGATCATCCAGAACCGAGAGGCTCAGAGAAGGAGATCAGACAGACCAAGGTGGAAGACTTTGTGTGGCCAACTGGAAAACTGAGCGATAAAGCTTTCCACATTCAAGCAAAAATAGACCCCTGGAGTGCCCTGCAACTGGAAGACATGGAGGTTTGAGTCCAGCTGGGTGACAAAAGGAATAATTATGACCTTATCTTCAAGCAGGCCCCAGAAGCTCATGAGACTGTGGCCAAATGTATAACCCTGGCAGACCACAGAGCAGCCAAGAAGATCTTGGAGAGCACCCCTCCTCAGGTCTTGCCCTATTAACATCCTCCTCCACATCCTGATTTCTTTTTACATTGTTTATTTTTGAGATTGTAATTTAATCACAAAGTTTTTGTCATACCTTTCCTCCATCCAGAAACCTTGCTTTCCGTTAAATTCATGGCATTTTTATTAATTTTATTGTATGCATACATGTATGTGTATATAATTATAAATATAATTATATATATAATTTGTTATAACCTATTAGGTCCATATATTACTTATATGTATGTTTTCTAAACTGACCATTTAGCACTGGACAACCAATTGGTGTGCTCTTTCCCAGGACAGTAGTTTATTTCTGACTTATTCTCTGGATAATAAAAGCTTGCAACAATCATGTTGTACACTGCTGGGAGTAGTGAGCCCTCAGATCCCTGAATTTCTTGTAAACAACTTGTGTTCCCCTGATCTGAGTGCCTACAGCTGCTCTGAGCACGAGACCCTCAGGAGCTCCTGATGGCAGGAGAGTGGTTTCTGGTGGGTTTGGCTATTTCTATATAAGCTGCCCCTGAACACAATACAGGGGGCATTCTTGGGGTGTTCTAACTTCAAGGAGGATGACTCGTGTCTCTGTCTGTGTGTCATTGTGGGCTTCAATCTCCAGCCCCTTGCCCGAGGCTCAGGAACGCAGACAGGCGTGGCGCGCTGCAGCACACGGGTTGCTGGGAGCCACAGCTCCACAGTTGTGTCCAGTGTGCTCCGTCTTCTCTACTGGATTATGTGTAGAGCACAAGCTGCCTCTGCGAGGAGAAGTTCAGATCGTGTAGTATGATGACTATGAAGAGAACCATGTCAGGGAGCAAGACGTTGGGAGTGAGAATTTGTTTAACAACAGAGGTCTCAGGTGCTACTGAGACGACAGCCTCCTCATCCTGTGAGGAACCACAAGGAGCCCTTCCTTGGCACCGATTTTAAAGGCAAGACCTGGAGTCTGAGTTATTCATTTAGGACAGAGGGCAATGCTGCTGCACTACACCCCGAGCAATGGGGCTTCTTCATCACAGATTGTACCCGCACTATCACAAAACCACCCTTTTCTTCTTCTAAGTTGACAATCTCAGATGTTTAGTTACAGTGGTGGAAATCAGCAAGGCCAGTGGAAGACTGGTGAATCAACTAGACCACAGTGAAATTAGCAAACCCACAAACAGATTCAATGACCCTAGACAAAGAACCAAAGGAATCTTTTGAACCAATAGTGACGGATAACTATCCACTTGCAAAAAGCTACATCCAGACACAGACCTGATATATAATATATAAAAAACAACTCAAAATGGGTCATGAACATAAATATAAAATTCAGATCTACACTTTCTACAAAATTAACACAGGAGAAAATATATGTACCACAATCATTAACAACAAAAAAAAATCAATGTTACATTGTCTTAAAGACTTCTGTTCTGTGAAAGACACTGTTAGAGAATGAAAGCCCAAGACATGGGCAGGGAGAAAGCGCCTGGACCCAAGGCCCCATCACAACATGCGGATGTGGGCTGAAGAGTTGAAAAGACGCTTTGGCAAGACTGGTGGCAAATAAGACAACAGTCAGATGCTCAACATATTTATCACTATGGTGTTGCAAATGAAGTCTGCACCGAGTCCTCAGCACAGCCCTGCTCAAAGACTGAAGCCTGAAGCACCCCAAACACTAAATGCTGGCAAAGGTATGCCATACAGGAGCATGCAAGCATAGCTGGTTGGACTAGGACACAGTACAGCCACTGTAAGACCGTTTGAGGGCGCAGAGTCAGTGATGCTCTAAACATAGGATCCAGAAACCAATCCCCTTAGTATTTATTTGTGTCTCCACAACTGTGTATAGTGCCCAGCAAGTTCCAAGGTGTTAGACATAACTAAATGACAAGGACAGTGCTGGGCTTTTCCTGTAGTTTATGATAATCTGGGAACCTCTGTATGAACTGTTTATGAAGGAGTGAGTAAGAAATTTGGACATAAAATAGAGGTAGCATGGGTGTGGTAGGATACACCTAGGTTTTTAAGACACCAAGTATTAAAACAATAAAATAAAAAATAAAGTAGCAAAAGAACCAAAGACAGCAAAACAAATATCCCTACTGGCACCAAATTCAACGCTCACAGTAAGCCTATTGTAGGAGAGTCTAGAATCTCATCACAGAAGAAAAACCTTTTAGTTTACATGTAATTAGTGAAGACACATGGATTGTCTAGTTTCCAGGTATGCAAGCAAATATGACACAGCTATCAGAAGGTGCAGAATGATCTGTAACCACAGGGGGGAGAATTTAACATTCACTTCTTACTAGCAGAGCGTAAATAAAACCAGTAAAAGTAAAAGCGAAGAAAACACAATTATATGGTCTTGTAAAATCGTACAAATGCTATGCCTAAAACTAAGTTTTTACATAGAACTTAGTTTATGTAAAACTAAGAGCAATGTTCTTCAGTTAACTTTCGCGATAACATTTATCCTTTTCACATATCCTTTCCTTTCACTGTGACTTCTCTCAAAGCCCCAGGCTGACCGAGTTTGTAACCAGGGTACATGTCTTTACTGTAGCTTCCTTGTCTACTGTTAGGCAAAACTTCCACACCTTCTCTCATTTCCTCCTTGTCTGCTCTTCCCACTCCTTGAAATGTTTCCTTCTCTAAAGTCCATTCAATAGCTTAATTCATTATAATCAGTAGCCCTACTGTGATTGCTTTCTTCTTTTTATCTTTGTTTGCTTTCTGCTCATACTTACAGCGATTAACATATTTAGTGTGAACAAAATTATCCGGGTCCCTTTCCTGCCTAAAACAACAATGGGTACTTAGCACATGTTTGTTTCGTCATGGACTGCTCCTCTCTTTAGAGTGAGTTAATCATCGAGCAGTGACTGTCGCTGCAGTGTACCAGAACACATCAGCACAGCTACTAGACCTAGTGAATCTAAATCCGGACGGGCAGATCCCAGAGCAAAACCACAAATAACATAGAAAAACCAAGACAACACACCTCCTTCAGAAATTATCAATCCCACTGCCATGCTCCCTTATGAAAACCACTTATGTAACATTCCCCATGAAAGGCTCAAAAAGAATGGTTAAACCAAAGTTTAAACAAACCAAAAATTAATATTTTCCAAGAGAATGCAAACAGCAAAATAAAATACTCCATTCACGACACAGAAATAGAATTAAATAGACAGAAATACTGAAGAAAACCCAAACTCAAATGATAATGGAAAACATAATAGATCAAGTAAGTTTAATGGAAAACTTCATGAACACAATGGATCTTGTGGAAGACAAAGTAGAGGAACTGGTCATTCAGTAAAGAGAAGAAAAACACAAGTATGAATGGACCAGGCAAGAACTTTGGAACACCATGAAATGGCAAAACTGATAATTATGTGCATAAAAGAGGTAAAATAATTCTAAACAACAGACATAAAAATGTTTTTAATGAAGTCATAGGAAAAAAATCTAGGGAAAGAGAAGCCTATTTATATATACACTCATACACATAAAAGGCAAATCTAAAAAAAATTGAAAATGAATATTCATACTTTGATTACACATGTCCTTAAAAGCTTATTGAAAAATAAGTATCAGAATAAGCACAAAAGCATCTGCAGTACCACATTTCCTATAAGAGAAACATTGGGATCATAAAACAGAAGAAAATTAAAGCAATGGAGACAAAAAGTCATTGAGAAACTAGCCAGAAGAAGGTGTACTGAACCACGTAACAGCAGATAAGGCAGTTATTAAGGGCAATGAAGAAAATTATTAAGCCATGAGTGTCCCTTTAGCAGGATAATATGCTCTGACCTTGAAGACACGACTTTCAAGTCTGTATTTACATAAAGACTATAGCATTATAAGCTTAAAGCAGAAGCAACACTACAATAAGAAGTAGAAATCTAGAAAATGGGCTCTGAGCACAGGCAAAGCAGCGGTTAATTATGAAAGACCCCTAGATTATCAGAAGATTCAGAAGTGGGGTGCATGGATTAGTCCAAAGAAACATATGGCTACAGACCTATTCACAAACCCACAGGAAGGATTTTCGAGTTTAGTTAGAAACAATGTAAAAGAGGAGGACATACTCTCTGCACTTTCCTCCTGAGGAGAGGCATACTTCTTGATCTGAGTCGGGCTTCTGGTTATAAGAAGTTTCTTCTCAGGAAATATATTGTCCACTGATACATCCTTTTTCTGGTATTCTACAGGAACGGCTAAGGAGAAAGAAAACATAGGTGTTAGGGAGTTTCTGAGCACTCAAACTTCTCACTTCTATGGGGAGTGTGGAAAGCCACGTCCAAGACCCACGAGCACGTGACGCTATGTCTCAGCAGCTCCTGCCTAGCAAAGCAGCTCCCAGACTCCACTGATCACTGTTTGCTTTCTTTCCCCATTTTGCATGTTTTATTCATTCTGACTGCCCTCTCTCCTCCTAGAGAACCTACACTCAGGTCAGGGCACAAACTGTCCACAGAACACGCTCCCACGGAATCCAGGACAAGGAGACGCGGGCCTCCTGTTGGGTTTGACGTCAAGCTCTTTATGCTTGGTCTACTCACGGCTGAATCGCGCATCCTCAGAAGTTGTTCCTCTCTCTGCTTGGGCCTGGAATTTTAATGAGGACTCTTGATGCAAATGAGCAGAGATATCATCCGGTACTGCAAAATGAACTACATAAAGAGATACATTCAGTCTCTTCAACACAAAGGAAAAAAAAATCTATGGAACATCAGGGTTCAAATTTCTAATGATATGACAAGCATATAATAGCAATTCCTCTGATTTTCATAAAGTCCAAAATTGCCATGTTATATCTGGTGTGAGTATGAGGAGAGTTTTATCGACTGATTATGGAGATTGTCAAACTACTTCATAAATATTCTGTGGCACCAGCCGTGTCGGAGTCTGTCTCCTAGCTTCACTGACTGACTTCTCATGCCTTCCGTTATCATTTGTTCCCAGACAGGCCAAAGAAAACCAATGGCCTCAAGGCTACTCACCACCACAGCATTATTTGCAACTGTGAAATGTCCAAAGTCACATAAATCAAGCATGGGAGAAGGGCTAAATAAACAGACACATGTAGCAGTAACTGGTATAGAATAGAAACTGCTGGATGTGAGGGGCACAAGGTGCTGAGCACAGCTGTGAAGAACAGCATAGAAGCATTTATATAATGCACTTGGGAAGATTTATTAAAAGAATGTTAAGTAAAAACAAAAACAACAGCGACAACAAAAAACAAAACCAAAATTCTGGCTCAGAGTTTATGGGAGTGGCCAATTAATACTCATTTAACATATGGCCCAATCCATGAGGAAGTCCATGCCCAATACTACCTGGATGGATGGCCCAGAGATCTGGGGTAGAGCCAAAGAAGACTGACATACACAAAAAAAAAGAAGAAGAAGAAGAAGAAGGAGAAGGAGAAGGAGGAGAAGGAGAAGGAGAAGGAGAAGGAGAAGGAGAAGGAGAAGGAGAAGGAGAAG